GAGGAAGACAAAATGATCTATAAGATTAGGCAGAAAGAGGCTAAGCAAGTTATAAGAGCTTCCAAATCACACACAGAAGAGAAAATAGCACAGTCAGTAAAAAAGGGGGCCAAAACATTTTTTAGATACATGAATGAGAAAAGAAAAGTAAAACAAGGATTAGTTAGATTAAAAACAAAAGAAGGAAGGTATGTAGAAGAGGATAAAGGTCTAGCTGACTGCCTCAATGAATATTTTTGTTCTGTATTTACAGATGAAAATGAAGGAAAAGGACCTTAGTTGAGAAAAAGGATAAATGAGTCATTTATTACACGTGAGTTTACAGAGGAAGAGGTTCTATTTCATCTGTCAAAAGTAAAGACGAATAAGTCAATGGGACCGGATGGAATACACCCAAAGCTATTAAAAGAGCTTAGTGGTATACTAGCAAAACCATTAACAAATTCATTTAACCAATCATTGTTAACAGGAGTAGTCCCAGAAGATTGGAAGTTAGCGAATGTTGTGCCCATTTACAAGAAAGGTAATAGGGAGGAGTCGGGCAATTATAGGCCAGTAAGCCTTACTTCTGTAGTGGGGAAAGTGATGGAAACCATGTTAAAGGATAGGATTGTTGAACATCTAAAAACACATGGATTTCAAGATCAGAGACAACATAGATTTACTTCAGGGAGATCATGCCAAACTAATCTTATTGATTTTTTTGATTGGGTACCCACAATTATAGATCAGGGTGGTGCAGGAGACATTGCTTATCTAAATTTCAGTAAGGCTTTTGACACTGTTGCACATAGAAGGCTTATCAATAAACTGCAATCTTTAAGTTTGGATTCCAATATTGTTGAATGGGTAAGGCAGTGGCTGAGTGACAGGCAACAGAGGGTTGTAGTTAATGGAATATATTCTAAGCTTGGACTTGTGACCATTGGGGTACCTCAGGGATCTGTACGTTGACCCATTCTCTTTAATATTTTTATTAGTGATATTGCAGAAGGTCTTGATGGTAAGGTATGTCTTTTGCTGATGATACTAAGATATGTAACAGGGTTGATGTTCCAGGAGGGATAAGCCAAATGACAAATGATTTAGGTAAACTAGAAAATGGTCAGAATTGTGGCAACTGACATTTAATGTGGATAAGTGCAAGATAATGCATCTTGGACGTAAAAACCCAAGGGCAGAGTACAGAATATATGATAGAGTCCTAACCTCAACATATGAGGCAAGGGATTTAGGGGTGATTATTTCTGATGACTTAAAAGTAGGCAGACAATGTAATAGAGCAGCAGGAAATGCTAGCAGAATGCTTGGTTGTATAGGGAGAGGTATTAGCAGTAGAAAGAGGGAAGTGCTCATGCCATTGTACAGAACACTGGTGAGACCTCACTTGGAGTATTGTACACAGTAATGGAGACCGTATCTTCAGAAGGATATTGATACCTTAGAGAGGGTTCAGAAAAGGGCTACTAAACTGGTTCATGGATTGCGGGATAAAACTTACCAAGAAAGGTTAAAGGATCTTAACATGTATAGCTTGGAAGAAAGACGGAGGAGGAGACTATATTTAAAAGAAGAAAAACTACCACAACAAGAGGACATAGTCTTAAATTAGAGGGACAAAGGTTTAAAAATAATATCAGGAAGTATTACTTTACTGAGAGGGTAGTGGATGCATGGAATAGCCTTCCAGCTGAAGTGGTAGAGGTTAACACAGTAAAGGAGTTTAAGCAGGCGTGGGATAGGCATAAGGCTATAGAAAATTGGGCAGACTAGATGGGCCGAATGGTTCTTATCTGCCATCACATTCTATGTTTCTATGTTTTTATGTTTCTATTGAGAAACTTGGATAATTACCGTGCAGGGTTAACTCAGCCTCTACTAGAGGCACTTCCCGGTCCTTAGCTGACTTCATTCTCTGCATGAGGACATCCATCGTCAGCTAAATTCCCATAGGAAAGCATTGATTCAATGCTTTGCTATGGTGAAGTCCTAATGTGCTCGGCGCGCATGCGCATTAAGCCCCCCAATGACTGATGTTGGCAGAGGAGGAAAGAATCCATTCCAGCTCTCCTAAAGGTGGATTAAATTAGATATTAGATTACAGTATATACTCGAGTATAAGTCTAGTTTTTCAGCACATTTTTTGTGCTTAAAAACCCCCACTCGACTTATACTCGAGTCACTGTCTGTATTATGGCAACTTAGAGAGCCGCGGCCATCAGAGCCATGGCAACGATCCGCGCGGCAACCAGACCGCGAGACTTACAGTGGAGCTGACCGGAACGGAGGAGAAGGGAGCTGACAGGAGCTGCAGGAAAGGTAAGTAAATGCTTCCTGCCGGCCCCCCCACTTCACAGCCCATGCCACTGGACCACCAGGGATTAAGATAGCCCCCCTCCCTGACCAGTTAACAAGCAGGGAGGGGGGACAAAAAAAAATTAAAATAATAAAAAAATAATATTAAAATTAAAAAAATTAAAATAATAAAAATGCCCTCCCCCCACCCAGTTCACACACACTACACAAACACACACTCTGCATTATATACACACTCTGCATTATATACACAGAGTGTGTGTATATAATGCAGAGTGTGTGTTTGTATGAGTGTGTGTGTGTATATAATGCAGAGTGTGTGTTTGTATGAGTGTGTGTGTGTATATATGCAGAGTGTGTGTTTGTATAAGTGTGTGTGTATATAATGCAGAGTGTGTGTTTGTATAAGTGTGTGTGTATATAATGCAGAGTGTGTGTTTGTATGAGTGTGTGTGTATATAATTATAAAAATCACAGAATTTCATAGCCCCAAGTTTTACCCTCGACTTATCCACGAGGCATAGCATATTTCACAATTGTTGGTCACAAAACTGCACTCGACTTATACATGAGATCGACTTATACACGAGTATATACGGTAGATATAAAAAAATATATTTGTTTGTGTGGGTGCGTATCAGTATTTGTGTATGTGTGTGTGTCTGTTAGTGAATGTGTGTGTCTGTCAGTGAGTGTGTGTGTCTGTCTGTCAGTGCTGGTTGGCGCATCGCAATAGGTCCAGCCCACCCTGGAACAATTTGGGGGATTTCACTCCAGGAAATGTGTCCAAATAGCAGGCCAATAACATCATGCAACTTATTTGCCAGGTGATTGCTGTTGAGTGTGCTTAATTTTCAAGAAAGCTTCATCAGTCCTCTGTTGGAGTAGTGAAAGAGGAGCATTTAAAAGCTACTGGTCAGTCTGTGCATTTCACTACAGATTTGTGGAGTGCACCTAGTGGCTAACATGCCTTTCTTTCCTTGAAGGCACACTAGTGGAAGCCGGGTGTGTCTCAGGAAACTGCTACTACAACGTCGACAGCAGCAGCAGCAGGGTCTCCCAGAAAAGGAGGAGGTTTACCTGTATATTAGCTGGGCTCTTAATCATTTCTTCTCCATGCTGAAGTGTTGGATGAAAAACATGCTTCAGATAATATTCTGCAGGCAGTAAGGAAGATAATGTAATTTTGGGTAGGAGTGGAAGCTGGCACCAATGTAGAAGTAGGGTTTGTTGTAACTGATAGAGCTTCAAAGGGGACAATTCATAGTCTGGTACCAGACCAGTACATTGGTATTGGGTCACCACTGGGTAGAGACAAGTGATCTTACAGCTAGTGGCAGTCCTTAAACAATTCAGGGATGCCACTGAAAACTTTAGCCTGGACACTGCCAATCTGGGGTTAGGTAATCCCTGTGTTCACCCATCCAGAGAGCAAGATGGGTGAACACTGGGATTCCTTGAAAATCAAGAGGTTGTTCAAGGTGGCCCTCTACATTCTGATGTATTAGCACTGGTCAGGAGGATAACGGATCAGCTTAAAGTTTGCCTACATGAATGCATTGATAATTCTCCTGAACTGATGCTAGCATGCCTGTGTGATCTAAGGATTAAGGAAAAGCTAGCGATCAGTTCCAATAGTCTAACAACCTGGAGTGAAAAACTGATCATAAGGGTGTTTGACTGGCAGCAGAAGAGGACAATGCTGTTTAAGGGAGAAGTGCAGAATGAGGCTGAGATGTCTGCTACTCCCAGGAGTGGTATTGGTTGTGCATTATCACCAGTACACATCTAAGTGGAGCAGATGGATTGTGGGAAGAGTAATTTATAGCTGGAACCACTGAGAGAGCTAGTGGCAGAAAGGAGATTAGTGCCTTGGAGATAGTCAGGGGTTACCATTGGTTGCGCAGGAGCTGCTATCATGTCCAACAATCACTGACCAAAGTGAGTGCATGTTTTCTGTAACTGGTAATATACTGAATCCACAGTACTCCCACATGTCACCTGATGGAGCAGATTGCCTTTTCCCCCCAATGCCCAATAATCTCCCTTAAAGTGATACTGGTTTCTCCCCTCTGGCTGCGTTTCTTTGTGGTGTGGCAATGCCTGCTTCCTCCACTAGCGCAGACAGCTAGCGCTAGGGCATTGTGTTTGACCTCCAGAAACTGCTCCCTATGCCAAGAACTGAAGATGTTTGGGTGCTTTGGCCTAAGGATGAAACAAGTGAGTGGATCCCCAATTGCTCGCACACTCCCTTTTACCATTTTATTCCTATTCTGCTGTTGGTGGTGGCAAAGCAACATCTCTTTCCTTGTTTCTTATTCTTTTTCTTTAATTCCCTTCCCTTTTCCCCCTAATGCCCAACAATCTCCCTTAAAGTGGTACTGGTTTCTCCCCTCTGGTTGCATCTGTCTGCTTTGTGGCAACACCTTCTACCTCCACCACAAAATACAACACTAAAATATTTTAACTCCCAAACATTAAAAGTTAGTTTAACAAACCACATCTATTCCACAACTATATTGCAATGCAGATTTCACCTGCACTACCTCAAGTCCTCAGCTACCACACACACATTCAACCAATCCATATTAATTCAAATCCACACTGAGAAACCCACTGTGTATTTGCGAAGACACATATATTATCTCACACTCACTGACCATCAGAACCTGAAAGTTGGAATTGCAGAAGACTGATGGATTGGAGTTGGAAGATGACAACAACCAGAGCTAGAGAAAGAAGATTAGTTATTAAGATTAAGTATTGCAATAGCATAGGTAAGTAATAATTAGAGAAAACCTCAAGCGTGGAGAAGTATCCATTTGCTCTCCAGAGTCAAGTCCTGCTGTTGTGCAGGTCATGAGCTAAGCCCTGCTTTGCCTGGCTTGGTTAAAATATGTGAGAGAGAGTTTCCAGCTCTCATGGAGGAGGTAATGAATGATCGTGAATGCTGACCACCAGCTATGTGCAGCGGAGTAGCAAAGAACCACAGGTAAGTATAAGTTGAGGTCCACTTTGTTAAAAAACAAGGTGTCACGGTTCTCGCCACATCAAACAGACGGCTAGACGTGGTCACCCGTGGAGATCCCAACAAGGGACTTGAACCGGGGAACTTCGCAGTCCTGGTCCTGCTTCCTACCTCTGAGCCACAGCAGCTTTTGTATTCTGCAAGTCATTCCGGTCCTGTTCATCCTGGCTTGTTTATCACTCTGGGGGCTGTACCTTGAATTTGGCTGTGCTGCACCTGACCCTGATCCGACATTAGCAGGGTATTTAAACTCAGCCTCGTCCTGTGATCAGGATCAAGTCTTTGATCCTGTTGTGTGCTTTGTACCAGTGTTCCTGTTGTTTGAGCTGCTACTTGTTATTGACCCCGGCTTCTGACTACGTTTACTCTGACCTCTGGCATCCCTTGACTTCGGCTACTCCTCGTTGTTCCTGTCTTCTGGCATCCTTTGACCTCGGCTATCCTTTGACGATCCTGCTGTTTGAGTCCTTGCCTGTCCTGCGACTTGGTACTTCATCCTGCACAGCCCCCGTGCACAGACCCACAGGCCGGGTGAATTCTTACCTGACCACCTTGGCCTGTGGCTATCTGCAAGGGTGAGCAACATATCTGCGCTACAGACTCCCAACCCAGGTAAGACCCTGACACAAGGATACTGTTAGTTTAGCAAATAGTTTAAAGGTACAGTTTGGGCACCATAACAATATACTCAAACTGAGTTTGTTATGGTGCTAGGAGGTCCCTGGCGCTTTCTCACCACAAGCACCGCAGACTCCACAACTGCCATAGCTTAGCTGGGATCTCATACTTATTAGCTCCTTTAGCTTCCAATATAATTTCTATGCGAATGACACGCAAATCTATCTGTCCTCTCCTGATCTCTCCCCGTCCCTCTTGACTAGTGTCTCTGACTGCCTCTCTGCTATTTCTAACTGGATGGCTGCCCACTTCCTTAAACTCAACTTGACCAAAACAGAAATTCTGGTCTTTCCTCCCTCAAGTATTGCTACTCCTGTGTCTACCATCAACTCCACCACGCTTGCTGCCTAGGTGCTCTTTTTGACTACGACCTCTCCTTCATGCCTCATGTTCAGTCTATTGCCAAATCCTGCCACTTCCATCTCAAAAACATTGCGCAGATCTGACCCTACTTAAGGTGCTGGTCCATTCCACTGTCCTTTCTCGCCTTGACTACTGTAATCCCCTTCTCAGTGGTCTTAAATGCTCCCAACTTGCACCGTTACATCTAGGCCCTTACGCTCTACTGAAGACTTACGTCTATCTTTTGTCCAGAATCCCACCTCTGATGCTCGCCTTCAAGATTTGTCGAGGGCTGCACTGTTCCTGTGGAACTCACTTCTCTCTACCGTTAGATGCTCACCCAGTCTCCACTCCTTCAAAAAAATCATTAAAAACCCACTTCTTCATAACAGCGTATCAATTAAACTCTCTTGCAACTGTCATTAGTCTAATGCTATCCTTACCTTTTGTGTCACTTTACCCCACTCCCTCTAGCATGTTAGCTCATTGGGCAGAGCCCTCAACCCCTCCGTTCCTGTGTGTCCAACTTGTCTGGTTACAGCTACATGTTTATTCGTCAACCCACTGTAAAGCGCTGCGGAATTTGTTGGCGCTATATAAATAATAACCCCAACTTGAATTGCCCCCGATTGGAAAAGCATTAGATGCCCTACTCTCCTAGAAATCTTGGAGAGAATTCAAACCAATTACAAGCAATGAGGTCAGTTTGACCATATATGGATCCCTTGGAGATCTTTCTTCCAAAAAAGCTGATAACCTTATCAAATTGAGATGGGAGAGAGCACATACACACAGGCCACACTAGGTGCAGCCATATACATTGGCTCCTTACACATGATGGGGGAACCCTTACATTACTAACCCCTGCAACTAATCCAACTTCTGTCGAGAGCATTACTTTGCTTTGGCATAGGTATTACTCCTTCTCTACAGGTGATATCGATACATTGAACGTGACAACAAATAAGAACCATTCGGCCTATGTAATTTTCTAAATACTTTCATTAGTCCCTGGTCTTATCTTATAGCTAGGATAACCTTATGCCTATCCCATGCATGCTTAAACTCCCTCACTGTGTTAACCTCTACCACTTCAGCTGGAAGACTATTCCATACATAAACTACCTTCTCAGTAAAGTAATACTTCCTGATATTATTTTTGAACCTTCACCCCTCTAATTTAAGACTGTCCTCTTGTTGTGGTAATTTTTCTTCTTTTATACTCTCTTCCTTTACTGTATTGATTATCTTTATGTATTTAAATGTTTCTGTTATATCTTGTCTTGTCTTTCCTCCAAGCTATACATGTTAAGATCAGCGATACCAGAAGGGAAGTCTTTAGGCTCAGTTACATTTCTTGGCAACTGCAAATCATACCTCAGTTCACGTTGTGTTGTATTTCTTATGTACATCCATGGATGCCCACTGTATAAACCTTTTGCTAATTGCGATACATATCTTATATTTACACTTTGTATTATTTTCTATACCCCAACTAAAAAAAAATATAATTAGAATTTTCAATAAAATACAATTAAAAAACAAAG